CTTCTTTTTTTTTTCTTTTTTTTTTTTTAATGTTAAAACTGAATGAGGGGGACCATCGGAAGCAGAAGACCGCATGAATCATTCTCAGTTTGAGGCATGTTATTTTTAAGGGTGCACCCACACCCCTTCTCTTGTTTTATTCATTCATTCATCATTGCTTCATTGATTTATCTACTCATTAATTTATTCCCTCTTCTGCATTTCACACTCCCATTTTGCTCCCCTACAAAGGACGATTCTAATGGGTTTAGTGTTCTTTTCTGTTATCACGGTTCTTGCAAAACATGCAGTGTGGTTGGTGCGCATGTATCTTTAGCTTGCGTAGACAGCACTGTGTTCTCTGTCTCAATCTGCTGTGTACGTTGCCCTCCAGGCAGGTTTTAAGCTCCAATGGTTTTGCTCTGTGTACATGCAGAGTTGCTTCTGTGTTCCATTTTCTGGCCTTCTATATCACTTACATTGGTTGTTGCCACCGGCTTATGTTACTTTCATAAAACAACCTAAACCCTGTTTTAAATGACATGTAGATGGATACTTGAAAAAGTTACATGAACACAGCCCGGAGAGAAGCCTGGGTCCTAGCAGCCAGCCCCGGACTCTCTGTACCAGGGACGTGGGGCCTCAGACCTGCTGGGGAGCCCCTTCTCCCTGGCTCCTCCGTGGGACTCTGCCTTCTGGAGGCCGCCAGCTGCAAGGAGACGCTGAGTCTGCGTCCGTGGCCAAGCCACATGACGGTAGACTCCACGGAGGCCTCAGCGGCACCCAGCCTCCCCCGAGCAGCTCTGCAGCCTTGGTGAAGTCACACAATCCCTGTGGGCCTGGACTTTCTCAGACTCTATCTGGGCCTGTGAAGTTTCATATGTTCTTTCTACTTGTCCCATACGTATTTGTTGATATTCCAGAACTGGTCAGGCCCTGGGGCTGCAGAAGGAAAGAGAGGAAGTCCGCTGCTGCCCTCAAGGAGCCCACGGTCCAGGGCGGGGGCGGGGGGCCCACATTAAACAGAGTGACATGGGTGACCATCTCATCACAATTGTCCCAAGTTCGCCCCCAAAAAGAACATGTACAGTGACCTAAATGTAACCCCAGGGCAGCCGCTCAGGGCTGGAGACTCAGAAAGGCTTCCAGGAAGAAGGGACGGTCATGCTGTGACCACAGGAGGAGTGGGGTTGGCCAGGTGAGGGAAGACCGGACTGCGCCGGGAGCACGGGACCTGTGAGGGCAGAGATCTGGGAATCTGCTTGGGGGGGAGCAGAGCGAGCCAGCTGGTGGGGGGGGACGGATGGAGGGAGAGCGGGCCAGTCTTACCCGGCCTTGCAGCCTGCAGTCAGGGATTGGGGCTTTATCCTAAGTCAACAGGGAGCCCCAGACAGGGCTTAAAGCAGGAAAGCAACATGATCTGGTTGGAGCTCATTCTATTATGGCCCTGGCTGCAGCAGAGAAAGTGGATCGCCTTGCAGGTCCCATTTGGAGCACTCAGCATGTCTGGAAACAGCTGGGTGTCCGTCCATCCAGGCGTCTCCCCCTGATCCCCTCTGGGGACTCCAGAGCCTGTTGTAGAATGCGTGCCTGCTCATTCCTCTGGCCGCCCTCCGTCTCCCTGCCCCCCACCCCTTCCAGGCACAGGCACACCAGGCTTGAGGCTCATAAATGCCCAGTTTTCCAATCTCTGTGTCCCTCTCTGCCCCCATCCCCCTCCTGAGCTCGTCTCTGGTGCCTACACTGAGCCTCTCTGGGCATCAGATATGGGGTTCACATTTGCCAAGTCACCCCTGCCCCGATGCTTGGTGGGCTGCTCTTTGTTCTCATCCTGGGGCTGTCTCTTCGGTGTCCTGTGGGGTCTGCAGCGGAGCTGGGAATCAGCCAGAAGGTAGCCAAGAAGGCGCTGACCCCTCTCCCCGACATTGCAGGCATCCTGGACCTGGGGCCCTGAGGGTCAGGGGGCCATCCTGCTGGTGAACTGTGACCGAGACACGCCCTGGCTGCCCAAGGAGGACTTGAATGATCTGAAGGTCTACAGCAAGGAAGGTGCCAGCAGGACCCACCTTTAGGGTGGGGGGCGGGGAGAGCAACGGAGACACGCCTGCTCCACCGCGGGCTGGGCCAAGACAGAGGCAGGAGTGATCGTCCATCTCCTGGGGACGGTGGACTCAAACATCCACTCTTGGGGCGCCTGGGGGGCGCAGTCGGTTAAGCATCCAACTCTTGATTTTGGCTCAGGTCATGACCTCGGGGCTGTGAGATCAGGCCCTGTGTCAGGCTCTTCGCTGGGTGTGGAGCCTGCTTAAGAGTCTCTCCCTCTCCCTCTGCACATACCTGCTCTGCTCTCTCTCTCTCAAAAAAAAAAAAATCTACTCTTGCTAAAATACAGAAGATAAAACTACTAATGCAGTTCAGTTGGAACCATGGTTTTAGAACAGGAATTACACGTACACAAACACATAGGGAAAGGACCGGAAGGAAATTCCCCAAAAATTACGGGAGGTCATGGTGTCAGAGAAGACAATCAGTTTTTATGCTTTTCTACAGTTCCCACAATACATATGTGTGGGGTTTTCTGTCCCGATTGGAAAAGTAACGATTATTCCTGAGCCCACGTTGCAGCTGCATGTCTCTTAATTCTAACCTCCTCTGCATCCCCCCTTCCTCAGACCTCAAGGACATGTCCCAGATGATCCTGCGGACCAAAGGCCCTGACCGCCTCCCTGCCGGCTACGAGATAGTTCTCTACATTTCCATGGCCGACTCGGACAAAGTGGGCGTGTTCTACGTGGAGAGTGAGTGACCCCAGTGCAGCCCTTCTGGAAGTTTCTATCTATTCGGTGCCCACTGAGCTCACCTCCCCGGGGTCCAGTTCTGCCCTCCACATTCCCCAGAGTCCCCCCTCAGCAGCTATGAACCCTGCAGGTGCAGGTGACTGGAGAGGGCCAGGACGTACCGCTTAGTAACGGTCACTGGGAACACTGTTGTCCCTTGAAGTCAGGAGGCCCCAGGGACAGGCCTTTCCTCCCTCAAAGGAGTTGGTAGTGACTTGAGTTTATGTGCAACCCAGAGCTCCTTCTTCCCCCATGAAGCAGGGGAGGAAGGGCTTTTGAGGTCTACATAAATACGTGTTGAGCCTCCTCCATGCCAGGTGCTGTTCTCAGCGCTGGGGTCCCCTGCAGTGAACTCTGCGATCACACCCCACCCGGGGAGAGGTGATGGTCTGGGGAGGGACACATGATAAGGAGCACAATGGGAGAAAATGACACCCACCAAGTACGAGGGACTTTCAGGGGCAGAGGCGAGGTATCACTGGCCCTGGCCGGTCCGGAAAGGCCTCTCTGAGCAGGTGACGTTTGACCTGAGGCCCAAATCCACAGTGAGAAGGAACCAGCCATTCATGAGCTGAGGGAAGAGTGTTCAAAGCAGAGGGAACAGCACGCACAAAGCAGAGAGGAGTGGACCAGCTTGGAATGTTAGAGGAGCAAAAGGGAGAGGTGAGAGGTGGGGGATGTGTTGGAGTCAAGGTCAGCGAGCTGGGCAGGGGCCAGGGCATGCAGAGCGGGCTTGGATTTTATTCTGAGAGCAGTGGAAAGCCATTAGAGGGTTTTAAGCAAGAGACTGTCAAGATCTGATTTATGTATTAAAAAGTTCTCTCAGCAAAATAGTTAGCTTTGCAATTTGCCATGATGAGGGGTGGGGCTTCCCCTGTGCGCCCAGCTGTCTGGGGGGCCCAGGATCTCTGGCATCCCTCTGGGGCCCACCTCTAGAAAGGCCCGCTAGAACCAGGACAGTCGCCGTGAGGAGCTGGCCATGGGGGCCCCAGACCCTCACCACAGGGAGTGATTTAGCCCAGACGGCAGTGGACAGCTACCACCCAAGGCCAGTTCTCCTGATCCACCCTGGGCGCTGGCAGTGACCTCCCACAGGCTGGAATGTCCCCAGTGTCAGGCAGGCTCTGCTGCCCCAGGGGGCCGGAGCTGTTGACATTTATCCCGTCCAGCCCAAGGTAACGTCGGTGGATGGGGCTGCCGGCAGGGCAGGCGGGAGTGGTACATCAGAACCTCTACCTGCTCCTCTCGACTGTGGCATTGAACTGGGACATGCAACGTGTTGCTGATAGTGACACCTGGATGTTTTCTAGAGGGTTCTGTTCATTAATGGGAGTGGATTGCCCTCCGGCCCCGTAATCGCCCCTCACTTATTGCTTTGGCTGGGATTATTCTGATAATTATGAATTATAATCCTTGCAAAAGACAGAAGTCCCCCATGCCGTTAAGAAGACACAGGTGTCTGGGTGTCAGCCTCAGATTCTGCCCCAGGATCCCAAAGTCGGGGCCTGACCTCTTCCTATAACAAGACAGTGACCAGCTTGTCCCAGTTTCCCCAGGACCTCCCTGGTTTTCACGCTGAAAATCCCTCATCCTGGGAAAACCCTCAGTCCCAGGCAAACCAGGATGGTTGGTCACACCATCAAGGAGTCTCCTTGGGAAGTGGAATGGCTCCAAGGCGACCAGAAGGGTTATGCCAAACCATACCACGTGCCGGCCAGTAGGGCCAATGCCTGGGGCCAAGGAGAGGTCAGGGTGGCTTGGCAGGCACAGCTCGGGGCATGTGGGCCGCTCAGTAGAAGGGCATTGCTGGCTCCTGCAGGGAGAGCTGGCCCCCGAGCTGGGGGCAGGGGAAGGAGGCTGCTTGGGACAATGGCTGCATTGTTCCCACCACGGAATCAATCCGCCTTGAGCCCAAGCACCAGAAAGAGAGACACATGTAAATCGCAGGCCACAAGAGGGAGAAAATTACATGCAGAAGCGCAAGAACATGTTCTTCCACCTGACCCAGCTTCCTGGCCAGACCCCTTCCCTCCCCAGCCCGGGCGGAATGCCTGGCTGCCCGGAGTCCTGGGGAAGCTTTGGAGCTCTCTGCAAAGACAAGTCAGCTTCTAAGCCTGAGATCTCTCCCCTGAGCTTCAGCTCAAGTGTAGCCTGAATGCCTGGAAGAGAACTTTTTAATTATGCAGATCCATCTGGATTTATGTAGCGATTAGGATCTCCTGAGGGTGCACCCTGTTGTTTCTGAGTGAGAAGGACTTTACCTTCTGTGTCAGCTCCTTGGCACATCCAGGGTCTCAGTCTGTCTGCCTCATTTCTTGGGCCCATCTAAGGGAAGGTGAGGTGAGGTATTATTTCTTTGCCTTCTGTTCATAAGCCATTCAACACAAAGGCCATAAGTTTCATAAGTTTTGCAGAAAGGGACATGCCAGCTCATTCAGGGGCTCTCGTAATACTGATACCTACAGGTCCCAGCTGTGTTAATGAGGGTTACCCATGGTTACCGGGGTTCCCTAAGTTACTGATGCTGTGTCATTTTATCTTGCAATGACCTTGTGGCCTAGGTGTTATTATCCCCCATTTAACAAACACGTAAACTGAGGCTCGGGAAGGTTAAGTGAATTCCCTGAGGTTTTGCTGCTTGTAAAGCCAGAACAGTATTGGAACCCAGGTCTCTCTGACTCTGGAAGTCATAACCACTAAGGTAAAGTGCCCTCAACAAGACATATAACCAAAGTCTAGTTGAGCACATTGTCCTTCATGAGGAGCTGTCCCGAGCCTGGGCTTCGGAGGTTCCTCTAATTTGCCAGTTTTAATCATGTACCCTATTTGTACGAGGACTGATCCGCGGGTGACAAGTCATTAACTGTTACCATTGTTGTTGACAATAAGTACTAAGCTGAGCCTGATTGTGCCCTTCCAGCTCTGCAGGGCATAAAGAAACTCCTTCTGGAACTGCATACTGTCCTCCTTCCATGCCTTTTGGCAGTGCAAGTATCTCCTCCCCTCACTGCATCCCACCTCTGCCACGCCGAAGGGCATCTCAGAGTCTCCCTTCCTCTGCTCACATGCTCCCCACCTTGCCTGCCTTTCCCCCCACTCCCCACCCCAGGAACCTGCCCGTAGCTCTCTCCCATGTTACACACTTCCCACATCGGCATTATCTTATCATCGGCCGAGCACTGCTCTTGGACAGAAATATAGCATCTTGACCATTTCTATCCACCACCACCACCACCACCACCACGACCACCACCACCCCCTCCCAGAGGTTGCCCGTGCTGGGAACAGAGTAGTAATTCTGCTCTGGCCTGAAAATTCTCCCACAGGGAGTAGCGTGGAAGCTATGGGTTCATTAGGTAGAGGTTTATTAAACACGACCTGTGCGACTTTGGCACTGGGCCCGGCCAGGCCTGTCTCTGCCCTCAGGTGACAGTCTCTCAGGGCCAACAATTAATCACTGAGCTCATACCCACTCAGAAGGGCTGTGATGGGCAAGGATGGGGGCTACAGAAGCACCACACAGAGTCCCTGGCTTGGTTTCTGGGCGTCATTCCCAGAAGGGACCCAAATCAAGGCCTGGAAGGAAAGGAAATATTCCCAGAGGAGGGAACAGCACTGGAAAGGGTTGGGGGACTGCAGTGGGGCAGATACCCTGGGGAAACCTGCCTTTCCTCCCAGCCACGAGACGGTACAGCCAGAGACCATGCATGGGGCTATATGCCAATGTGGCTTCCATTATACAGACAGGAATTTGGGGTATAAATGGGCACCTTGGTGTTTTGTGTCTGAAAGGGGAGGGGAGCTTGAGTTTCAGAATTGCACATGAATTTGAGCCCCAGCTTGGCCACTTGCTGGCTCTACGACCTCAGCAAGCCATTTCTCCTTTCTGAGAATCGGTTTCCTCATCTGTAAAGCAGGAACGTAACACCTTTCCTCAACACCACCCGGTGCTCGGTCCTCACTTGCTATCATTTCACCCGTGCCATCCCTGGGCGTTAGCCCATTTTATAGACGAGGAAGCCAGAAACTAGAGAGGTGGTCTGGTTTCACTGTGCCACATGGCGAGCACACAGCAGTGCTGGGATGATGACCGGGCCATGGCCCTCCTGGTGGCATTTTCTGCTTGTGCTTTTCTCCCTGTGTCTAGAGGACAAGCTACTCGACCATCTGACACCCCCTGGCAGGGGCGGGGGTCTGACGTGGGCCCTTCTCCCTCCAGACCCGTTTTTCGGCCAGCGTTACATCCACATCCTGGGCCGGCGGAAGCTCTACCACGTGGTCAAGTACACAGGCGGCTCCGCGGAGCTGTTGTTCTTTGTCGAAGGCCTGCGTTTTCCCGACGAGGGCTTCCCAGGCCTGGTCTCCATCCACGTCAGCCTGCTGGAGTACATGGCCGAGGTGAGAGCTCCCAGGCCTTCCAGAGGGCCACTCTCAGGGGTCCCCACAATGCTCCACTCCCCTCAAAGCATGGGGGGGGGAGGCCAAGATTGGAGGCCCAGCTGCTCCGCATCGAGCACATGCACCTGTCTGCCAGGCTCCTCTGGGCTATGCTCCAGGGATCCTCCTGTTTGCTGCATCTACTCCCCAGGGTTCCCTGTGGGTGAGGTTTTCTGGCATCCTCACATTTGTGCCCTGGTCTGCCCTCCTCCCTGCAGCAGTGTGGGCCTAGTTCTAAGGCACAGATCCCCAGAGGTTAGTGCAGGGAGCATACTAGCCCACACATGTGAGATTTATCGGCTACTTATATGCCCTGCTTTTCCCTCCCCGGACGGACCCTTCACCCTGACTGCGGGTTATACCAGCTCTGACCACAGGCTGAACCCCAAATCTCAGCCCCAAGTAATGCCCCCAGCCCTACGGCCAGATATCTCACTCACCATTGTTCTTGGTTTGGGAAACTGGACAGGAAGGAGAGCGCCTGCCCCTCTAGAGGAGAAGCCCCCCTCACTTAGAGTGTGTCCTGCTGACAAGGACCTCTCGTCACAAAGACTGCAGCCCCATACTCCCACCTCTCAAGCCCACCCCACTTTGCTCAGATATAGGGAGGGACTTGGCTGCCCTCCCCGACACAGGGTCCCCTCCCCATTGTCACTTTCAGAGTACTTTGGAGGCAGGACACAGTGGGCTCTGCAGAAGGTGAGGCTGAATCGGGCTTAGATTTATGAGAACAGGCTCTGGAGTCCGACTGCCCAGTTTCAAGCCCAGGAGACATTGGGCAGGTGAATTTACTCCCTGTGCCTCAGTTTCCCCATCTGTAAGACAAACGGCAGAAGTTTCTGCTTCCTGGGGTGGTTGTGAGCATCCAAACTTGTAAGAACTCATTCACAAAGAGCCCTCAAGTCCGTCAGAAGAAGAGAGATAGAAAAGGCAGCATTAACAGGATGGGACAGGGGCAGGGCTTCTGCTCCCACCTGTGCCTGGAGTAGCCTGGCCATCAGGGCCTCAGACTGGCCCCTCCAGCAGGCACCGACAGAGACTCACAAAGCAGACCCAGGCAGGAAAGGCCAGCTAGACCCCTAGGCCCACCTGCCCCCATGGTCTCTGCCAAGGGCAGGTGCCCATTTCCTGTAGCCGTTCAAAGCCAACTACACAAAGGAACCCCGGAATCCACTCATTTTCCCTCAGGTTCCAGGCAAGCTTCCTGAACCTTTCCTTAAAGAACAATCTGGACATAGCAAAATTCCCCCAAGCAACATAAAAATGCTCACCTATAGAAAAGGGCAAGGTGCCCAAAGCAGAGACAGAAGGTGCAGGGCTGGCCCGGCCATCTCGCGGGCCGGTTTCAGGAAGGGGACTTTGATGGGACAAGATCCGATAGTGGTTAAGAGTATGGGGGCAGCCGCCTGACCACCTGGGTTTAAATCCAGGCTCTCCCCCTTACTAACCATGTGAAACAGGTCTGTGACTAGAGGTCTGTGACTCAGTTTCCCTACCTATAAAACATGGATTATAATACTATCTACCCCCTGGGGTTGCTGCAAAGCAGAAATGAAATGGCAGGTGTGGCACTACCCCAGGGCCTAGCATACCACAAGTGCTCAATAAATGTAGTATGGTTATCGGTTTCACCCACTTTCGAAAGCAGGCATGAAAGGTACCCTGACCAGACTTTCTGATCCCCTCCACTCTCCCATGCCCAGGACATTCCCCTGACGCCCATCTTCACGGACACCGTGATATTCCGGATTGCTCCGTGGATCATGACCCCCAACATCTTGCCTCCCATATCAGTGTTCGTGTGCTGGTAAGCAATGGCCAGGGCTCAGGGAGACAGCATAGCAGAGTGGTTAAGGCTGGGGCTTCAGGGGCAGACAGACCTGAGTTCAGAGCCTGGCTCTGTCACTTACCACCTGTGTGACCTCGAGCAACTCACTTGACCTCTCTGTGCCTCTGTTTCTCTGAAATGCTGACATCACAGAGTCACCGTGGGCATTAAATGAAGCAGGCAAAGTATTAATTCAAGGTCCTGGCACAATTTGTGCTTTAAAAATAATAGCTATCATTCCTGGGGCGCCTGGGTGGCTCAGTTGGTTAAGCATCTGTCTTCAGCTCAGGTCATGATCCCAGGGTCCTGGGATTGAGCCCCACATCAGGCTCCCTGCTCGGCGGGAAGCCTGCTTCTCCCTCTCCCACTCCCCCTGCTGTGTTCCTGCTCTCACTATCTTTCTCTCTCTGTCAATTAAACAAATAAATAAAATCTTTAAAAGAAATAGCTATCATTCCTTTTCTCATTCTTGGCCCACACCATCTGGTTGGGAACCTCCTGTGCAATGGATGTTCAGTTCAGCTCATTTTATGCAGCTTTTCTTCTTCTTCTTCTTCTTCTTCTTCTTCTTCTTCTTCTTCTTCTT